AAAAAAAAAAAAAAGAAAGAAATGACTGGAAGAGCGAAAGTAAGAAACAGAGAGAAGAATGATAAGAAGCCGGTTCGAGGATCGGGAACACGCGTTAATTTTTCCATTCGTTTTTTCGTTTCAGCCCAGCAGCTGGATCGCAGGCGTGCATCACTTACGACGCTGTGAATCGTGCCTACATCGAAGCAAGGAAACGCATTAGTGAGTGCCAACAAGTTAAGGGGCAAAAGAAGGAGACAAAGTGTCCTTTGCGTATTTAAAAAAAAAAAAATGCATAAAAGTCCACATCGTCTAATAAATTAACTCCGTATAAATTAATTGAGCGTTGTCTGTCGAGCTTGATAAGATGCGACCGAGTAATCCAAGAGTAAGCTGGATTAATTACAATCGATGTGCACGGGTAACGATTAACGCGAGATAATTTAACATGCCACTTCGATTTCTATCTATGATAGTTCAATTCGCGATTCGGTCACGTTCTTCGAAACGATTATACCTCTAGCTCGTTGTATCGTTCATCCTTGGCTAACGCGCCCCTTGTGTTTGCGCCCGTTCACCACTATGCTCACGCACGTTTCGTCGGTTCATGCAGATGTGGCGCAACCAAAGACGAAAATATGGCGGCCGGAGGATCTGGCCACGGTCGGCGAACTTTTGCTGGATATCAGCGTTAATCTCGCTCAAACGTAAGAGCTCTATTTTCTTTTTTCTTTTCTTATCATTTGTTTCCAATAAATCGCTATGGTTACGATATATTTGTCCCATAAAAGTATAATTTTGCATAAACATCGTAGGATAGAGGGGGGGGGAGTGATGGCTCACTTTTTATCTTATAGAGAAAGACATATTTGTGAAAGTACAATACAAATAAATTTATAATGTTACAACTAGAAAAAAAAAAAAGAGAAATGACATCTGATCCGGATCAAATGACTCAGGTGAAAAATACATATTTTGAACTCAATTTTTAGTTTAAGAGATTTTCTCACAAGGTCTGTTCTGACAGTTGAAAATTCTTTTATCCTATTTATACTCTGAATTTTAAGTTTTTTTGAAAAGTTTTGTTCGAATAATCATTATTTCTGCCAAAAACTCTTCATTTGATCGTAATTCTTTATTGTTAGATTTTATTTCTTTGTGGCATGATTTTCTAGAGAATACTAACTTGCACATAATTTCGATGGGTCAACGGGGCCATCGAACTTGTTTTTCCTTGCAATGACACGATAATATCTCGCTACAGAAACGTAACCAACCTCACGCACACTGTATTTCAAAAAAGAGTCATTACTCTTTGGTAAAATGTCAATTAAAATTTACAGGATTAATTTAAAGGATTTAAAGGATTTCTTTTTTTTTTGAGACAATTCTATTTTAAAGAATTTTAATTAAAGCTTGCATGGGGATTAATTTAAAGGTTTGAGACTATTCACAATTTACTTTCAAATGAAAACCTGAAAAATTGATACAACTTGTGATCGAAGTACAATATACCACCAGAAAGGAAGTTGCAAATTGACATTTGACAACCTATGTAATGAGATGCAACCATCGCACTCGCCCTGTACAAAATCTCGTACAATTTGTCGCATCAGTAAAAAATTACAAGATCCTGTTACAAGACAGATATGGGCTAAGCTACGAGGAAGTGGAGAAGAGTCTACCCTTGATCGACACCTCCAAGACCTTGATCCACGAGGTGTGTCCAGCTTTCCTAAGCAACGTGGAGTGTCGTGCTGGAAAATACCGACGAAACGACGGCCTCTGCACGAATCTACAGAATCCAACGTGGGGCGCCACGCTATCCCCCTTCCAAAGGTAAAACGCAATATCTGTCGTCTTATATCGATGCAATGAACGCATGACGATGACAAATTTTCGTTTGTCGTCGACAGATTGATGAGCCCGCGATTTGCCGACGGTTTAACAGCGCCTAGAATATCGGTAACTGGCCATGATTTACCATTATCACGAGTGGTGTCGCGCACCATGCATCCTGACGAGGGTTATCACGATCACGCTGGCACAGTCATGGTCATCGCCTGGGGGCAGTTTATGGATCACGACTATACGCTGACTGGAACCCCTCTAGGTACGCTCTCGAAATCCGATAATTGTCTAGTTATGCCGTACAGTGCACGTACATAGAATTATAGATCGAACGATAGATGTACAGACTGAATCAATAGTAGGACTTGATTCGTACGACGAAGTATGTAAAATTTTGTAAATTAGAAATAAGAAAGTAGATACTGAAATGATTACGATGATGGTTTACGTTTCTTAATATCTTCTTATATTTATATATAATTGGTATTATTATTAATTGTAATATTGATATTAATATTATACAGTTTCTTTCGCATAAATCTTAGAGCACAGTGATCACGATGTTAATGCAAGCAACTTTAAAGAAGCTCGACTTCTATCCGTAGAATTATACCAAGCAGAATTAATCAATCGAACAACTAATTACAACAAAAACAAGAACCTTCAATTGAAATCGACGCAGGGCTGGCACAATTGTGTAGTAAACCGATAATATTTCACGATCGATCGACGAAAACAACGCGTTCGGGAGAAACGCGAGACAAGCGAGAAAGGTAGGTTTTATCCTCGCCTAAAAAGAGAAAAAGAGAGAGAGAGAGAGAGAGAGAGAGAGAGAACGGTGACCGAGAATTTGCCAGCAGAAAAATGGAGAAAGTAACCGAGGCCCAATTTTCAATAGCAAATTACGCAATTTGGTATCGGTTCGGCCCAGTTACATCAGCCAGTACACGGGGACACGGCTCGTATTATAGTAAAAACGTGATTATAGGTACACAGGTAGACGGCAGGTAGTGAGCCCTTCTACGTCGAATATATTTACCATCTATCGGAAACTAGGGTAACAGCCAGAGAAAGCGAACGATCGCCAGTCAGATAAACGTACAGGTAGGCCGTCGATCATGCGACTACCGTGGAGTTTCCACGAATCGTGCGCGATCCACATCAAAATCGCATGCGTTCGTGGAATTTTCAGTTACCTGGATAATTAACCGTACCGATGGAATTAGGTTGCTATTCTATTCTATCCTATTATAGAGCAATTCATTACGCTGGACTTTGATTGACTGGCAATAGTATTGCGCTAAAAGAGAAGAGAGTTCTACGGATTTCTTTTGCAATGGATCTTTATCCAATGATGGTATTCGATCAATCAGTTAATTATTAATTCGGCTGGATTCTCAATAGAAAATTGGAAACACCAATTGAGTTGAACATGATATTTAATTGATCAGTTAATGATTAATTGGGTAAACTGAATTTTTAATACAAAGCTAGAGACAAAGACAATAGTTGAACAGGTATTGAGCTAAAGGAGAAAAGAGTTTTGTCTTCGACACAAGAGATTCAGAAGATTCACATTTTTTTGGTTGGATGTGTATTAAAATTCAATACACATCCAACCAAATTTGATTTTGAAGTAAATCTTTATACTCGCTTTATACTTCGAGTAAAGTGAGAGTTGACTTCTATCGAAATAAAGATACGATTACGTAACTCTGATTATGCTCAAAACAGTTGAAACGTTAAATTACGGTAATCAGCATACAATAGTTATCAGCATACAATAATCCTTCGCTTGCGACAATTAATGTGATTGATGTTACTTACGGAGAAATTCTTCTACTGAAGTTTCCACCGTACTGAAAGAAGCTCTATCGACGATCAATTCTACTTTATATTTGCATTAAAATATATAGTATACACGTAGTATACATCTACGGTAATCCCTTTATGTGGAGATTTATTGTGGATCACAATGGAGAACAATTGCAAAGATAAACACACACACACACACTGTGTGTTGATAATTAACGACGTGCAAAAGACGACATGAATAATCATACGGCGCATAAACACGCACACTTTGTAACGATAGAACAAATCTAAACTATCGCACCGACGATCTTCAATCTTCTTCAAAAACAGTTTTACACGGTGTTTCGATGAGCAACGATTATCTATCTATTGAGCGCGACAGTACAAGAATCTTATCGCAATCTCGAAGATGCAACGATTAATTCGCGACTTAAGACAACCATCTAATCCAACCGCGTATACAAAGAATTTAGCAAATATCGTCGAAACAATGGAATTGGAGCGAGATCGATCATCAATCCTTGATCCACGAGCAGACTCGCTTGTTGTTTTGTACGTTATTATTACTTTATTCTATCTCGTTTGAAAAATCCTTGGGATCCGATCCAACTACGTTTCCGTGTATGGGAACACATGAGATCGAATTTGCGATAGTCGAGATTAAAATCGAGCCGAATACCGAATTCCTGGAATTTCTTTTGCAATGTTAGGAAATAGAATAGTGACATAAATTAAATTATAATGAAGTAACATTGATCTTTAACTCGATTTCTGTCAGAGAAAAAGTTATATAAAATTAATCGATAAAAATTTCTCTCTGAAATTTTGCACATACGTATGATCTGAAATTGAAAATACTTTTTACCATTTCTGATAATTTTTATATCTCGATTTATAATTGCACTTTAGATAACTGCAATTAGAGAAAGATCGTTGCAACTGAGAAAATAGTCAATGTATTGGTTTGGAAATTTAGCAACGTGTCGAGGTACGATTACATTAATTAGTAATGTTGGCACTTTAATATCGAAACAAACCAGTGTTTAAAAGAAAAGAACTGTATTTAACATTCTAACACAAAAGATTAAAAACTATTCGAATTAAAAAATTATAATAGGTGTATGTATGTATGTTATATTTAGTTTTTAATCAAAGTGTAGAAGCAATGAGAAGAGGAACTTGACAGAATTGACAAACGAATTTTACAATTTACAAATCTACAAACACATTTACAAAAAAATTATGCGCAGCAAATATTTGACAGTGCTTTGATTGTACTTGTACGTAATCGGTGCAGAATGTGTTAAAGGAACAGAACTTTCATCCACATCACTCTGATCTACAGATTCTACTTTCGCGTTTTCTTATGTTATTCCTGTATCTCGTCAGGAAAATCGTTCCCAACATTAACGGCAGTGAGTTTTGCGGTTCTCGTACTCGGCTCACGTCTTCCAATTTTCCCACGTATGTGAACGCGAAACACGCGTCAACGGCGAAAGTTATGCACGACGCAGAATTAGTTGTTTCAGTCCCAGAGATTGTTTAAAAAACCGTGCTGGATAATGCCACGCGACGAGATAAAAGTAGACGAATTAATGTGACTGACGACGATGTAATCGAAACCGAGCGCAATGCAAATCCTGTTCGAAATATAATCATTACATCCATAAAAGTCGCTGTTAGAACGCACATGTCTTTTTTGCCATTTTTTTTTTTTTTCAAGAGAACTAAGTTGCACCTTCGCAATGAGCAGAGTAAAAAAATTCTGACTGTGAAATTCAAATTCTGCAGCAGGTTCTCCCCATGAAATCGAAGGTGTAAAATTCACGGACAAACGTTTTCTACCCACCCTGTACATACATCGAGAAATCTGAAACATAACGAAATGTGAAGAGCGCTGCATGGGCACTGATACGGTTAAATAGACAACTTAAATAGACGTGGGTGTAAAAGCAAGCAGATAGAGCAACGATTATGATCGACGAAACTGGTATTCTGCTTGCAGATCCTCTGAACCGGAACGACCCGGAGGAATGTTGCCATCGGCCGCCGCATCTCAAGAACCCGTACTGCAACGAGATTCATATACCGGAAGACGATTATTTCTACAGGCTGTTCGGCGTGAAGTGCATGGACTTTGTTCGCGCCTTTCCAGCGGTTCGACCCGGTTGCCGACTCGGCTCCCGCGTGCCTTTTAATCTCCTGACGGGTGTGCTCGACGGCAACACGGTCTACGGTATCACGGAATCGTTCGCTAGGTAATTGATTCTTTGCCTCTATGTTCGTTGTCGGTCGAGTTTCGTTGTTGGGTGGTCGTTTCCAACGCGATCTAGATACCCGCGAGAGCCCGAGATATATTGGTAATGGGAGAGATCGAGCAGGTAATTGGTTTTTTTTTTTTTT